ACAGAGAAAGAGAGACAGACAGACAGACAGACGGACGGACGGACGGACAGACAGACAGACAGACGGACGGACAGACAGACAGACAGACAGACAGACCGACGGACGGACGGACAGACAGACAGACAGACAGACCGACCGACACACAAACAAACAGACAAAAGGGCAGCCAGCCAGGCAGGCACTGGCAGGCAGGCAGTCAGATAGACAGTCTGATACATATACATATATCTACGTGTGTATATGTATGGATACGTATAGATGTATATACAGCTAATATATATATATATGTATACAAACATCTGTACATGTGTATACATATATGTACATATGTTGTTGCACATACATACGGCGTGGGCTGGGAGAGAGAAACAAAAGCCTTCTATAGACAGGCTTTCCCAGCTCGCTATAGCACGATGCACTCAACTCAGCCATGTCGCAAGATACCACACGCTACTGACGGCGAGCTAGCAGAGCCAAGTAGTTAGAATTGATGGCGTTTACTGACGCTGCCACAACAAGAAAGCCCGAAGTTAAAAAGCAACAAAGCCCTAGACCCATAAACCCTGACATAAAAAGAATGTATATACATACTTACTTACACACATACATACATACATACATACATACATACATACATGCATACATACATACATACATACTTGCAGACTTACTTACATACATACATACATACATACATCCGTCCGTCCATCCATCCATCCATCCATCCATCAATCCATCCATCAATCCATCCATCAATCCATCCATGCATACATGCATACATGCATACATGCATGCATGCATGCATAAATATATACATACATACATACATACATACATACATACATACATACATACATACATACATATGTGTATATATATATATACATATATATATATATGTATATACACATACGTGTGTATACACGTTATATATATATGTATGTATGTATGTATGTATGTATGTATGTATGTATGTATGTATGTATGTATGTATGTATAGGTCACCCTGTTGAAACGCCATTAGGGCCTCCGCAGACCGTGACATACCCATATAAGCCAAGCAAAGCATCCAAGTATTCAACCCCTGTCCTCTCGGGATGATCTTTCAGAGATTCCAAGATTTGCCGCGCCTGAGGCTGAAAGAGGCGAAAGGCCGCAGGGAGCTCAGGGTTTGGGTTTTTTCTCAGGGTTTACAAGGCTTGAGGTCCATACAAGATTTAGCGTTTCAGGGTTGAGGGTTCAGGGCTTAGGGGTTGCTCCAAAACCTCGCGACCCAAAGGCTCCACTCTACTCTTAGGAACCCTAAAACGCTTACATCTACTAGACGAGAAAAGCATCAACTATGGAAGCCTGGTAGCTATGGACGAGGGTGGAACGCATGAGGATGAGAGTAAGCAAAAAAACAACCGTGAAACTGGGCAAACAAATTCCTCCATCATCATCTTCATCATCCTAATCGCGATCACCTTGCTTCCACGGAAGGCATACGTACACACACCAGGAGATACAGATCTGTCGTGTATACACGTGACCGGCTTTCCTGCAAAAACAGACACGACGGCCCAGCTCGAAACGCACCGGCGCAAGCCAAAGTTGAGGCTTTAGGCTTTAGGGTTTGAGGTTTTGGGTCCAGAACCCCGGTTGTCTGGACTTTGCGTTTGTGTTCGGGGCGGGTCCCTTTATCAAGGATCTCTGTGTTTCGTGTTGTTATGGGAACAACGCATTGTCTGAAGCTGCCGTTAACACAACGGACGACACAGGAAGAACACTGGTTTGCCGAAGTCTTCCGAGAGGTGGGGAGAAAGTTGCAACAACTTTGGTAGAGCTAAACATGAAACGAAATCAGCACTAAAAGCCTGGAAGCAAAAAGACATGTAGCCTCAACTGTGATAGGTGTGCTCGCTTCGTGGCGATCACACCCCGCGAGTTTCAATTCTCCCAGCTTCAGGCTTCAAGGGGTGACTCCAGCAAAGCCCGGTCCCTTGCTATGTAGGAGAGAGAGATGAGCCAAGGTATCGACTCGGAAATGGATTGAAGCCTTCCCGAGCACAACACAACACATCATACTTGTACTCAAGTTTGACTCGAACGAGGGCCTGGGCGAGGGTCCTGTTCATGCTCTGCCGATATTGGGCTGCAGTATGAGGGCGTCATGATCTGTTGTCTTCAAGCCCTGCAAAGGAGAATCTAAGAACCCTTTCACACCACAGCACCTCTGACTTCCCCACAAGGAGATGGAGAATCAAGACCTGAGCATTGAAGTGCGCCTAGTTTTCGCGTGTCGTGCCTTCGGGTTTAGGTTCAGGGGCCTAGGTTGCGGTTCAGGATCTGCTGTTGCTTGGCATTAGTTTTGAGCATGTTTTCCGATTCCGTTCTCTGAAGTCATTATCCAGTGCGTGTGGAACTCCGAATCCGTAGCACACCGGACACCTGCCCAAGCCCCACAACCCTTCAAATGCAAGGGTAGAACTCGTAGCAGCGAATAGCACCGATCAGTGGAATTTGTGGAAGCCAACTTTGGAACAGCAATAAGCGTCAACGCACGAGCAGTAACCGTACGACAGGAGCAGCTGACATAGTAGCAGAGACGCTGACGTCTTCGTAATCGCGACATCAAGACTCAGACTAGTAAATTCACCAATAGTCTGCCGGACCCGGCACTGTACTGAGAGTTTAAACTGTTAAACCCTAGACCCTTGTCAGACAGTCTCAAAGCCGAAAGCCTTGCTCTGCAGGCGCTTCGTGAGTTCACCCATCCTTTCAAGGGCTATAGCTCTAGAGCCGTAAGGGCCCAAGCACCGACCTAATTGTCATACACTCCCCCAGCATGAAGATTGCTACTATTGTAGAGCCACGTACGTATCCGTTGGGGTTTAGGGTAGCAACCTCAGAACCTCTCCTAAACATCCCGAAGCCCGAAACCCGAACACCGTCAAGCCTACGGCCTACATAAACCCTAAACCCTCAACCCTTGAAGCCCTGAACCCAAAGCCCTAAACCCCAAACACTCAAACCTAAAGCCCAAACCTTGTATACACTAAGCCTCCAAAGCCCGAAGCCCCAGACTCCACTCGCCCTAAAGGGAGTGGAGGCTGAGATAAAGTCAGACAAATACTCAAGCCCTAAACCACGCGCGAAACGGTCAAGGGTGTAGAGCTTACCTCTAGTCTCCATTGTAGTTCCTTTGTTGGTATAACCAGTATTATAATCAGGATCCTATAAGGTTAACCGTTTAACCCCCAAAAGGAACTAAAATGGAGACCAAAGGTACGGTCACCTGTAAGGAAAGCCGGACAAACCCCGTGCCCTGGTTCAGGAACCCGGCGCCCAAGGAGAAAGTGTCGAAGGCATGTCCTGGCTTTCGGGTTCAATGAAGCTAGGTCTGTCATGGCATAGCTATCTTGGAACATAAGCCAAATGGGATGTTAATCCAACTGTTCAGGGCCTTACTAATTGGAATATGGTTAAGTAAAACTACAATAAGGAACTCGAAGGAACAACGTGGGTTGCTATTGAGGCTTCTACATTCGTTCAAACTGCTGACAAACATTGAACTGCAGGAACCAGCAGCGAGTGTAAAGATCGGCTGCGGAAAAACCAGTCTGGGCTTGCTTTGGGGAATTAACAGAACGCCGATGGAGTGAGGGAGGGAGGGAGGGAGG